AAAAAAAAAAAAAAGAAGACAAAAAAAAAAAATTGGGTAGGTTGAGTCATTAAGTATCTATTGTTCTCTCCCAAATAGAAGCTGACTTTTATCTTCGTTGAGTAGGATTTGTTGAACAAGTTGGGTAAAAAAGGATGTCAGATCCCCATCAAAAATACATGTTATGGCAGAACAGACTGATTCAGATGAAGCAGCCCTCAGAAATTAGAAGAAAACAAATTCTCTTCGAGCCATTATATTAGTCAAGTCTGGTGTCATAGGGTCAACTCTGCAGAATAGAAGCATCCACAAAGCAGAAAAAAATCTTTACATATATCCAGACATTTAAGGGAATATTTGGCTGATTCATTAGTTCATCTGGACAATGGGGACATTTTCAAAAAAACAAAACAATCAAGGTCACGTTAAGATACCTGCTCTGAGCTCAGCACTGTATCATGCAGGGTAGAAAAAATCAGAGAAATATGGGAATGGATTGATAACCTGAAGGAACATACACACTTGGAAAATCCAAAGTCCTTATCCTGGCTTATATACCACAGTCGCCAGCAGCCTCCCTGACATCATTTCTTCTTCCTCCTTCCCCTCACTCACTGTGCTCTAGCCACACTGACCCCTGGCTCTGCTGTGAACATACAAGCTTGCTTTGCCTCAGGGGTAAATGCCCTTCCCCAGCTATCCCCATGTCGCACTCCCTCACTGTATGCAGATCTCTGCCTCAAGGTAATCCTACTAAAACAATACTCCCCAGAACTCACTGGTTCTTACCTGCTTTATTTTTTATTCATAGAATTTACCACTACCTAACATAATAAATTTATTTGCATATTTGTCAATTGTCTGCCACATCTAATAGAGTATAAACTTCCTGGGGGCAGAGACTTTGCCATTTTGTTCACTTTTGTATCCCCAGGGCCTGGCACATAATTGATATCCAAGAATTATTTGTTGAATAATTGGATGACTGAATAAATGGGAAACAAACACAAGCTCCTATGCACATATATACACACACACACACACACACGCACGCACATACAATACATATAAAGATAAACTATACCACCAGGGTCTAAATGGCTTAGAAAAGTATTAAATAACAATGGGAGTTTAGAGAAGAGAGTAATGCGAAGGATTAAGAATCACTATCTTAGTGAATCTAAGAGCTCCTTTGGGGACAGGAGCCTTTCCTGCAGGGTCTCCAGCACCCTGGACAATGCCTGGCACAGATTATGTTCAATGAACTACAGAATGAAATGATTCATCTCTACTATCTTTCACAAACACCCTTTCATTTTTGGAATTATAGCGCTATTATTACTATTTATCATAATGCCATTTCCATTATTATTGTTAAAATGCTAATTTTAACTATATTGCTACTATTGTTAAAATTTCTCAGGAGTTTTGGGTCTTTTATCTCCTTCTGTATTTTAATTTTTTCTTTTTTAGAAAGTTTTTTTATTTTTTAATTTTTTTAAAGTTTATTTTTAAGTAATCTCTACTCCCAATGTGGGGCTCAAACTCTCAACCTCCAAATCAAGAGTGACATGCTCTCTCAGAGGTGGCCTTGCTTTACTCATTAAACATACATTAATTGTACTCTTTCCTCCCCTCAGGAACTAGTCTAATCACAGGGAATAAAGAGATGTGTCAGTTATTGCTGTTGTCTTCAGATAAGCTACCTTTTATGAAGAAGATTTTTTTCTTCAATTATTTTGTGATTCAAGACCAACAGACCATTTGAACTGAAAAACTCTCTTTTCACAAACAACCAAAAACATCATATTTCTCCCTTTCCCAATTCCTCCTCCCACACTTTCTATTCTTGTCTAAACTTGTTTTTGATCAAGATTGCCTTAATTAGCATATAACAAATTAAGTCCTTCTTTCATTGTTAATAAAATGAGAGAATATTAATGTTAAAATGATAATGAGCACTTTCTCCTCACATTTTATGAGTTTTATGTAGGCTTATGTCTATCCATGACACTTTAATAAAATAATAGCATAATGCTGGCCAAAGAAGACAAATTAACCTGTCTAATTAAAATCTTACATCAGAAGTTACTTTCTATAATTTAATATTACAGGGTTATGCTCTTGTACAAGGTATTAATTATACTCTTTTAGATCATGGAATTCTATTGTACTAATATATTTTTAAAACACTGAAACAACTTAAATGTATTGGCTTAGATAGCATTGATAATGTAGCTGGAAGAATTGGGAAGCTGGGAGATAAGAATCTTGAATTCTAGTTTCTGTACTGGCACCATCCAAATGACTATGGATAAGTTCCTCTCCCTCATTCCACAAATATAATTGTTCATTAAGCCCTATCAATTTTTGAATCTCTCTTCATTTTGTTTTCTCTTCGATCTCCCACTGCTGTTGTTTTATTCCAAGCCCTCTGCCTTGATCAGTGCAGTAGCATCCTAACTGATCCCTCCTCCTTGGTCTCTCCCCATTCAAATCCATCTTATATAAAACTGATCAAGTCATATCTATATAACATAAATCCATAACTTCCCTGTCAACACAAACAACAGCAAAGAGGCACCAAAAGCTCTCTACCGTCCAGGGGATGATTATTAAATTCCTTAGTTAGACCCTTATCAGGCTGGTACCAACTACCTTATGTCTAACCAAGGAGCCCACCACTTTATGCTGCAATCACATTGAATTTTCCTCTCTCATCTCTAATAATCCTGTTTTTATTTATGCCTTATATTTTACATTTTCACAAGCAGATCTCTCAGCTTGGAAGTTTCCTTCTCTTCTATACCACCAGGAAAACTGCTTTATCTTTTAGACCCGATTAAAATATTATTTTCTTTGAAGTCTCCCTGTCTTTCTCAGATACAATTAGCAACCTCTTCCTCTCTGTTCAAACAGCACTTTGTATATAATTTTTTTTTAAAGATTTTATTTATTTATTTATTTGAGAGAGAGAATGAGAGAGAGAGCGAGAGAGAGAGCACATGAGAGGGGGGAGGGTCAGAGGGAGAAGCGGACTTCCTGCCGAGCAGGGAGCCCGATGCGGGACTCGATCCCGGGACTCCAGGATCATGACCTGAGCCGAAGGCAGTCGCTTAACCAACTGAGCCACCCAGGCGCCCCTGTATATAATTTTTTATTATGACCTTTCTTTAATCATTCCCTTTGAAGGTAATAGCTAGGTACTTAGTATGAAATAGGTATCAACAAATGTTTATTAAATGAATAAATGGATAAATGACAACTTTGCAAAGTCTCGATTTCTTAGTCTATCAATTCAGAAGAACTATTATAAATGATTTCACATATCTTACCTGGTTCTAACATTTCATGCCTATAGTCCTTAGACACATTAATTTAAATCAGATGTAAAATAATCACTACTTTACAATGAACAGAACTGACTCAATGTCACAAGAATATTGCACAGTATGACAGAAAAGTATCTACATGTAAAAATACCTGGCAGTTTTTTTGTGAATTCTACGAGAATCTGTACATGACTCGTTGCCATTTCAGTTAAAATGAGAAAGTTTTCTTCTGCACTGAATTCTTCTTTTAACTAAATTTTAAGGGGAAAAAAAGCAAATGATAAATAAATAGATAAAAGGATAAATCAACACAAAATCATTGGACTAAAGAACCAGATTTGGATAATAAAATTTAAATTCCAGCTCATATTTTTCAGATCCTTGGAGGATAATTACTATCACCTAGATAGATATGAGACTTCTTATTCTTTGTTTAATGCTGCTGAAATTCAAATGTATAAACTAAATTCTCAGCTCTAATTATTTCAAAATAACAAATTCATATATAAATTCTACCTCCAAGGTACTAAATGCTCCAGAAAATATTAACTTTAAACCCATGTATTTTCAGATACCTGTACGTACAATTTTATTTGTTATTTCCTGAGGCATCCTCTGTTTGCTGTATGAATCCATAATATAATGCAGAAGATTCTGTTGATCTGGGGTGAGTTCAGTTTTCTCCTACACTGGCAAAAAAATAAAAGGTGTTAGGGAAGGTGGTTATAAGGCATTTTTTGTATATGTGCATCCATCTGGAGTAAACTTATCTCAGAAATTGTTGCTAAAAGCCCTAAATATGGCAGGAACTATGCACTCTGATATAATGTGTACTGTAATTGCTTACTCTGGGTCCTTGGTCAAGCCATATCACATTTCACTAAATGTGTCCCAAGTTGTTCATTTTTCTGTTTGTAAAATAGGGATAACAAAATATCCAGTTCATGTACTTCTTGGTAATATATAATAGTCTGGATATGAAGTCTATCAAGCCCATTCAGAGAGAAGTTCAGTGAAAGTTCACTAAGGAAAAGTTCCCACATTTTAGAGCATTCATATAAAGCAAGAGTTGACAAACTATGGCCCATCAACCAAACCCACCTGGTTTTGTGACTCGATTGGAACACAACCATACTTACTTGTTTATGTGTTATCTATGCTGCTTTTGCACTAAAATGGCAAGAGTTGAGTAGTTGTCATGGAGACCTTGTGGCCAAAGCCTAAAATATCTGACCCTTTACAGAAGAAAGTGTTTGCCTAGCCCTGAAGTAGAGTCATCAATCTGGACAATTCAGACCCCGAACATCACTTTCTCCCTTACTAGCATCTTTTGAAGAGTGTGGATAATTGTGTCAACTCTTTGCTTCCTTATACCAAAGTGTGATTGATGAAGTACTATGGCAAGATAATATGAAATTATTTTTTTCTGAAATGAATGCAAAAATACTATACTTGGAAAACTAAATGTGGATGAGGTTTTCCTTGTCGGTAGTGTAATAAATATTAAGAAGAATGTGACTTAAGCAAGCATGGATTTTTGTTTTCTCAACTAATGGCAAATTAAAGTTCCTCCATATACCCTGTGGATTATCACCATGTGTTTAACCAATCATCCAAAATGCTGTTCCTCTATTTTGTCTCAATTTGTTCAAAGGATTTCTTGCATAATTTGTGAGCTCTATGGGAAAGGCTTTTCTCTATTGTTCCACAGATGTGTATCGACTCAGTTTTACCCATTGATAGGGACTAATCCACAAACCTCTATTGAATACACATCCTTCCCACTTTACATTTCCCTTCTTAATGACAGAGAAAAGAAAATGGTCATCAGAACTCAACCTGAGGGGTGCCTGGGGTTCTCAGTTTGTTAAGTGTCTGCCTTTGGCTCAGATCATGATCCCAGGATCCTGGAATCCAGCCCAGCAGCGGGGGGCTCCCTGCTCTGCAGGGAACCTGCTTCTCCCTCTCCCTCTGCCTACCACTCCCCTGCTTATACGCTCTCTCTCTCTCTGTCAAATAAATAAAATCTTAAAAAAAAGAAAAAACCCTCAACCTGAAAAATCCATTTTCTACACTGAACCATTTCTACTGGCAACCTCTTGGTAGTAGGAGTGGAATGGAGCCAGGGAGACAGACAGCGTTCATTTTACTTTATTTACTGCTATTATTTGAATTTCTACACCAAAGCAGACATTACTTTTTCAATTAAGAAGAAGAAACCCACTTAATGCACAACTGGAATGAAATTCTGCTTATGGTGGCTCTAATTTTAAAGCCTCCCAGACAGGTCACTACATGCCTAGAAGCTCAGCTGCTATGGGCTTTAGCGGACACCATTGCATGTTATTACCCTGCATGACTTGGTTGTCGAGGTCACTTGTCGCAAATCCCGACCTTCGCTGTCTTCATTAATGGTCTGATCTGCATGCTGCTTCACGTTTTTTCTTAGTCGTTTAGATTTACACTGAATTTCAGTTAACAAGCCTGAAAAAATAAAACACAGAGATTTCACCACAGAGTCGTATTGGGTCTGTGGTCATGAGGCAGTTGATGTGTAGTCAGCTCACATCCATGCAATTTGGCACAGAGCTAATTCTAGCCCTTCTGAATTTTGAGACTTGGCCTTGAACAAGAAATTTATCCCTCTGTGACTCTCAGTTTCTTCATTTGTAAAATAGGAAAAATATCTACCTCAAAGAGTTTTGTATAGATTAAGGATAATTGGGGCTTTTTAAAAAAATGTACTTTATGTAAAGAATTTGTAATACTAAAGCATTGTACAAATGCAAAGTATTCAGTCAATAAAAAGGTGAATGACACTCTCCCCATTCCAGGTCTGGGGACCCTGAAAGCTAGTGTTTCACAACATAATGTTAATATTATTTCTCATCCATATTCACATAATTGTATCATAAAAAGTATATTCAATTTCACATTAAACACACATAAGTAAACACATACTGAGCAAAACAAATGTCAACATCCTTTAGGGAAAATTTTAAATCTTCTTAATCTTTAGAACTGTATACATTATTGAGAACATAGTTAGAGATGGAAATAACTCAAAGGGACTTTGAAATTTCCTTTTGAAGAATCATATAATATCAAAATTAATTTATACTTAAACAGAGCTATAAAAAATAATGCAGAACAATCTTCCATATTCCCATTTAACGTCCTTACTCTCTCAATGTTAATGAAACTAAGTTCCAGGAATTTCTTTGTCCAGGGAATTTATTTTATAAGATCACATGAAAGCTCTGCATCTGTTACTGGACAAGTTTACATTAATAATAGTACAGACTCTTGTGGGTGGAATCACGAAAAATGTCCTCAGTGCTCCCATTGGAATGAGTTCATATTTAAGTGATGAGCAACATGAACTCCTCAGTATCAAAGTAAGCATTTCCATTGCAAGATTGGATTCCAGCAGTAGTCCCTACTGCAGTCTCTTGTTTCATATGCTGAGAGGAGATAGTGATCATCTACTATAAAACTTTCATCCACCCAGAGCTGGATTATTTACACTGACCTATTTTTCCCCCTCCTGCACACATTATTTCTCTGGGTCCATCCCAGTCGCCTGTACAATGTGGGAACAATAGAATAGGAGTCACCTTCCAAAGGCTTTTATTCCATGTGGCATTCCCTCCCTGAATGTTATCATCCCCTTGGTGACATTTGTTTGTCATGTGTGTTTTGAGGACGAATAGGACATATCTCAAAATCTGAGTGGTCTGTAGAATTTGCAGAATGAAAAATTAATATGTTATATACTAGCATGCATTCCAAATTGATGAAGATTATGGTTCCTCACAAAACCAGCAGTTAATACAGTGTCTCTTTATCAGATCAAAGGGCCAAATTATATTAAAACCCACAGTAGTTAATTTCCTGTGTAAACCTATACAAATTGGTTCAAAGTTGCACTAAGAGAAGAAGGACTTCTAATAAAATGACTTGGTTTAAAACTCTATTTAGACAATTCAGAGGCAGTTATACCTTATAAAGCATTCTTAATCTTTCCCACAACTGTGAATTTTTATGCTAATTAAACAATAATAAAGATATTAAATCAAATTTGGAGAAAATTTTTAGGTTGTTGTCATTCTTGGTAGCTTATTACAACATGTTACTTTCACTGCAGATTAATGCCACTTCACCCCACATGTGATTCTTGCAACAAGGAACAACAAAAAGCTGCTTCTTTCAGGGGAATAAAATGCTCTGTAGCTGACACTTTGGACAATTTCAGTGGCTCATTACCCTTTTCAAGAAGTTGGATGGCTTAGTCAATCCCTTCTTTAGTATGTGAAGTAGTAATCAGATGAGTTACCTGCCTTCTGCCTCCTTAAGCGATTTTTTTTTAAAGATTTTATTTATTTATTTGACAGAGAGAGATACAGCGAGAGAGGGAACACAAGCATGGGGAGCGGGAGAGGGAGAAGCAGGCTCCCCGCGGAGCAAGGAGCCCGATGCAGGACTCGATCCCAGGACTATGGGATCATGACCTGAGCCGAAGGCAGTCGCTTAACCGACTGAGCCACCCAGGCACCCTCCTTAAGAGATTTTAGTGGAATTTAATTGCTTGATGTGAATACCTGTATACATACATTCAGCCAACATTCCCATCTCTTTGCATTTCCTTAGGCGACACTCTTGGCACTTTCTTCGCATATACATGTCCATCACACAGTTGCCCCCGTTTTTACACTTGTACACGGCATTTTTGGTAATGCTTCTCCTGAAGAAACCTGTGGAAGAAACACAGAAAGGAGTAAAAGGGCTCCTAACAACTTCTACTCAGAAAAACACATTAGGATTAAGGCAAACCAGAGCACTGTCTGGAGAACCCCTGGAGAGGGACGCCTGGGTGGCTCAGTCATTAAGCGTCTGCCTTTGGCTCGGGTCATGATCCCGGGGTCCTGGGATCGAGCCCCGCATCGGGCTCCCTGCTCCACGGGAATCCTGCTTCTCCCTCTCCCACTCCCGCTGCTTGTGTTCCCTCTCTCACTGTCTCTCTCTCTCTCAAATAAATTAAAAAAAAAACCCTGGAGAGCCCCCGGGTCATCCTTGAGTGTACAGGTGGCAAAGATACTTTCAACCTTACCCCAACATCCAGAAGGCTGTCATTTTCAATTTCTCGCTCAAAGATAAAGACACATTTGAATTACAGCCTCTCTTAAGAAAAATCTTAACTTTTGGGGGGAGTGGTTAAAGATTTATTTATTTGTTTGAGAGAGAGAGAGGGAGCAGTGGGAGGGACAGAGGGAGAAAGAGAGAGAGAATCTCAAGCAGACTCCCCACTGAACTTGGAGTCTGACACAGGGCTCAGTTTCAGGACCCTGAGATCACGACCTGAGCTGAAACCAAGAGTCCGTCACTTAACCCACTGCACCACCCAGGCTCCCCTTTACTTTGTTTTTTTAAGATAGGTTACTTTCCTTATACCTTTATTGGGAGACAGCTGTGTGCCAGTGAGCTCTAGGGGCCAGTGGTACAAAGGCGAGTAAGTCGTCCCTGACCTCTTAGCGTTTATAGCGTTAAAACCATGCAAACAACCAAACAAGTGAAATTAAATGTTCCTGGGCTGGGCTGGGCAGAGGAAGCAGGGAGAATGGTCAGTTCTGGGTGAAGAGATCAGACTCAGAAGTAAGTGTTGAGCTAAGCCTTGCAAAACGAGTTGCTATTTACCAGGCGGACTGGGAGAGGTCACAGCAATGGCTTCAATTCAGTATTTGACATGCCCAGCCTAGTGTCATAATACAAATTCCAACCTTGATTTAAAAGCAAACATCTCCTCTGAGAAGGTGTAGCCACAGCAGCAGCTCATTACAGGTAAGCTGCAGGCAGGAAGGAAACACAACTGCCTTTCTTTCTCTTTTTCCCCACTCGCCACCTCTACTCTTTCTCCTCCACCCCGCTAACTGTAATTTCTGACACTTCCAGAGTCAAGGTGAAGCAATGAATAAGGAGAGGATTGTGGGAGGCGAGGGGAAGAATTAACAGGAAAGTGCTAGTTGCCTGTATTATTTGAAGCTGGCTTGTGCCTAGCAAGTTTCTGAAATCGCCTCCTTCTCTCTTGGGTTGGGTTCTTTAGAGAAGGCCCACCACTGGGATTTGTTCCTTTGCAATTCCTCAATGAGGGCAAATACATCTCTATTCTAGCCCATGACTTATATCCCCTTCTTCCGCATATAACAGGGTCCCTCCGCGGCCACAGTCCCGTCCCCAGGAGCTGCCCCTGCTGGGCCCTGTCTGCTTCGCGGCCTCCGTCATCCGTGTCCAGGCTGAGCTCTTTGGGGCCGGCCACTCTCCCCTGCCAGGGCTCTTGTCCCGTCTTCAACTACAGACAGATGTCTGTTCCATCTGACAGACAGCACTGTCTGTAGGAATTTGGCAATTCACCTCCATCCTTTTTACTCTGAAATCCCTCCATGTGGCCTTCTTGTCATGAGCTTAAGACAACCCTGTGCCGGCTTTCTCTGGTCCAGCAAACTGTGGGGAGGAGAAATCTCTCCCATTTATCCATAAGCAGCCACCATACCGCTTGCTCTTTCAGCTTTTCAGGTGAAAGTCAGATGCCAGTCTCCTGTGTCCCTCAGCTGTAAGGGATACATATCAATTTCCTCAAGTGATCCTGTTGAAGACCCTTTTGTTGGGCATAGGGTAGCAGAGCCTACTTAATGTATAGATTACACCTAGGGAAGGGGGGGCACGTTTTCCTAATCCTCACAAAAGTACCATATTTTCAGTGGTGGTCCTCAGGGCAGACACCTGCATCCCACACGACCCCCCTTTGCAATGGGATTTATAGCACGCAAGTCACACACTCCAAAATCTTTAAAGACTACTCTAGAATTTCCAACTCCTGACTGCTTCATACCCTCAAAGTAGGTGAGGTTTTAACTATTTCTTAACTACCCACTGCAAGATGGGCTCACTTTGGATGTAGCAACTAGCGTCTTCATGAATGCTGAAACTGAGACACCAAGAGTCCTTCCTATTTTAACAGCCTGTTGGAATAATGGCTAACGTTTATTAAGCACTCACTGGCTGTTGTTCTAACCACTTCACCTGCATTTAGTTATTTAACCTTCATAACAATTTTATGATGAAGATAATATTATATGTTCCCATATTACAGAAGTGGAAGAGAGGCACAGAGACTAAGCCTCTTGGCCATGATCACATGGTTAATAAGTGGATTAGGAGGATTCAAACTCAGGCAGAAATTTCATCACAGACATGGAGATTTGTACATTCGTTATGACAATTTTTTCTAGCAGAAGTCAATAAAAATTGTTCTAGTAAAGTAAGTATAATATGACAATGTCCCAATAGCTAGAAATTGAGTGTCTTGAGGAAAAGGCATTATATGGCTAGGAATGGCCCTGATTAATTCTGAGTAGGGGAAATCAGAGAGCACTTCAATGAAGGAAGTAGAATTTAGCCAGGTGTTGGAGAATAAATAGGGTTTTGAAACATGGACTGTGAGGAAGGAAGGACATTCTGGGAAATGAGAAAGTTATGGAAATGCCAAGGAAGGTTAGATGATCTATTTTGGCAGGAGAGTAGAGTGTAGGGAGAATTAGTGGAAGGTGGGTAAGGGCACGTAGTGGGACAGAATATGGTTAAATGTCCTTCAACATGATACAAAAGCTGTTGAGTTTTTACCATGCAGAAAGAGAAGCCATTAGAGGGTTTTGGCCGAAGAGGGTGTGACCTAACCTGCATCTTGGGAAGAATCCTTGGGGCAAGGTGAAAAAATGTGGAACAGCTGAGAGGTGATTGGCGCCTGAACTAGATGGTGAGAACAGGGAGGAGGAAACAGGGAAACTCAGGACTTGGTAAATAACTCAACATCAAAACAGAGGCTGAAGAAAAAGTTAGAGATAGCAAGGTTTACAAAAGTCATAGACTTGCTTGTGAATCTGTCAGCTGGTATAACTTTCAGTAGGAAAGATCTTACCATTTTCCTAAATGTCAGATCCAACTACACAAAGTCTAAAAAAAGACTTTGTGCTTCAGATCAACATTGATACTGGGAGTGCAAATACCAAAGCATGCATTTTAAGAGAGTCTCTAGGCAAGAAAAGGAAAGAAGGAAGGAATAAGGAAGGAGGGAAGAAAGAAAAAGGAAGGAAGGAAGGAAGGAAGAAAGAAAAGATCCCAGAGGCCCCTCCCTCTCTTCCTCCCTGCTGAGGGACGGAGGGAGGGAGGAAGGAAGTTAGTTTTTTTCCTGGTACCAAATCAATGAGCTCAATGATGTTCTTTAGTCAACCTGAATATTCATGAATATTCAGCCCCTCCCAGGAAGGATTCCATTTAAAACCATCGTAGATACTGATAGTTCAATAGTTAACAGAAATAAACCTCCTTATTCCAAGATGAATCAAAGAAACAGTGCTAGGACAATTCTGCAGGGTTTTGTTTTTTTTTTTAACTCTTGTATTAACTGAGAAAGAAATCATTATCATCTCAATAGATGAATTAATTAGTTTTCACTCTGAGATGGCAACACAATATTATCATTATATCACTTAAATATGGGCACATATACTGTATTTATACTTATGCAAATCTATCTATACACATACGTCTGCCTCTGTCTTGTGCATATTCAACAAGGCCCAGAAAAGTCATTTGAAAATGAATGGAAAGGAAATTCACTGAGGAACAGAGACTCCCTGGTAATGAAAGATGAATAGAGGGGGCTGACATTGCCATCTGAGGAAGGTGTAGCTCTAGGGGAACTCCTGCGGTGGCAGGAGAATATCTATAGGATAGGAAAATGGATACCTCCAATATACAAAATATTGCACATCCTGTTTCTCTGATTCTTTTTTTTTTTTTAAAGATTTTATTTATTTATTTGAGACAGAGAGAATGAGAGAGAGCACATGAGAGGGGGGAGGGTCCGAGGGAGAAGGAGACTCCCCGCCGAGCAGGGAGCCCGATGCGGGACTCGATCCAGGGACTCGATCCAGGGACTCGATCCAGGGACTCGATCCAGGGACTCCAGGATCATGACCTGAGCCGAAGGCAGTCGCTTAACCAACTGAGCCACCCAGGCGCCCCTCTCTGCTTCTTTATACAGATGTAACTCACATACCATACCCTACTCCCAACGCATATATAAATATGTATGCGTGTGCACACATACACACACACAAGGACACATGAACGTGCACACATCAGACTCCAGTGACTGACAGTAACTACCCATTAGTTTGAAATCAATAAAATATTAGTTGTTTAAAATTTTCAGGGTCTCGGGGCGCCCAGGTGGCTCAGTGTGTTAAGCGTCTGACTCGGCTTCCGCTCAGGTCAGGATCTCAGGGTTGTGAGATCAAGCCCCGCGTCAGGTTCCATGCTCAGCAGGAAGTCGGCTTCTCCCTCTCCCTCTGCCCTCCCCTGCTTGCTCTCTCTCTCTCAAATAAATAAATAAATCTTTAAAAAAAAAAAACTTTCAAGGTCTCCATACTTTTTAAACAGCAACAAATGCATAGAGCTGAATAACTAGTATGTTTACATGCACTGTAGCCTAAATAGAATTAGCCTTTAGGTCTATCTCAGCACGTTGTCAAATAAAAAGGACTCCACCACCCACTTACATAGAACTTACTTTGTATCAGGCACTGTTCTAAACACTTTGCATATGGTGATTCATTTAATATCCACATCAATCCTATGAAGTAAATTCTATTCTTATCTCCCTCTTACAGCTAAGGAGACTGAGTTACACAGAGAT